TCTCTCTCTCTCTCTCTCTCTCTCCTCCCTCTCCCTCCCCCTCCCTCCTGTTTACAAAAAATCACCTTTTGAATCCTGCTACCCTGGTAATCATTGATATCACATTTTTTCATCGCGTCAGAAAAAAAGGGAGGTTTCAGTTCAAAATGAATGACTGTCACTAGAATCCAAGCTTCAAAACAGTAATATTAAATACAGTTTTGGCAAGTGTACTGCATTTTATAGGTATATGTTCTGGCATGTGATCAAAATGGAAAATCCAATATCTCTGTCAAAATAAATTTGTGTGTGTGTATGTGTTTCAGTCTCTCTCTCTCTCTCTCTCTCTCTCTCTCTCACACACACACACACACACACACACACACACACACACACTCCTTCAGCCTGTTCCTTTTTCATTTTCTATTTGTAACACTGCCTCAGAAGCATTTTCTCTCCTGCCCATCAACCCAGAAGCATAATTTGTCTATTCTATGACAACATTTTAATTAAAATTCTCCCCCCTTGAAAGACCCAAGGAAAAAAGGTTTTCGATGTGTTCACACAGCAAAAAGTCGGTTAATTTGCTTACTTTCTATGGTTTGTGTAATTTACTCTGCCTTTTCGTTTGCATTATATTACATCGTTTATTCAAAGCAAGGAGGTAAATGGATGGAGGACTTGAATGCCTTCACCCTTGGCGCACAGGAACTGTATTTAGTCACTGCATGTCTGCTCAAATCTCAGAAGCTAAAGTAATTGCTAATAATCACTTCAGCTTCTGAGATTTCAGCAGACTAAATACTTACAACTTCCCTACCATGAGAGGTAGAATTCTGTCTACTCCACAAGGGTCCTAATTGAGGAAGCTGAATTATGTGCAAATCATCATCATTGTCTTTTCCTTTTGTTTTCCTCTGCTTTCCTGCAATTATAACAAATACGTATCCTTGCCTCAACCTTCTGAAAACCATTCTTGTATCGTCACAAATTCAGCTGCTTTGGTGTTAGCTGCTGCTCTAACCCTACTGGATTTCCTCATCGTCTTTTTTGTCTAGTGGAATCTAGTCTGTATCAACATTTCTGACTGGGTTTTATTGTTATAACTTTCTCAATTGAAGCTGTTGAAGAAAATAATCGCCGACTAGCTGCGGTGACTCATGCCTGTAGAACAGCTGGTTTCCATATAAACAATCTCTTTACCTTATATTGGTATAAACCAGAATACCCTTTTGATGACAAGGCTAGATTCAAGAAATGGGAAGGACTGATTTGTTTACCGCTTATTTCCCACAAAGAATAGGATGTGAAAATGAGCAATCACTTTTCCCTTCTCTTGGCTCTCAGTTTGGAGATGTAACTAATGGAAAGTGTTGTTGTTTTTTCCTTTCCAGAAGGACCTCCCTTTGCCCAGAAAAAGCAGCAGGTGAGTAACATATTTTTCACTGATCAGAACATTTCAGTGGGTGAATGATTGTAGCCCTTGTTCGTTTCTCCTATCCTGGTAATGATCCGTGCTGTCTCCCTAGCTCTACATGGGGCAGCCCTTGAAGAGTATTCGGAGACTTCAACTCGTCCAGAA